TTATGCTTTGGAATATATATTTGGAGCCGATTTTTATCTCTTGTTAGGATTAGCTTCCTGTTTACATAAATTTCGTAAGTTTTAACCTAAAGGTGGAAGACGACTGTCATAGAAATGCTTAAATGATTACTTCTCTCATTTTCTTGATATGAGCTATATGAAATTTTGTTGGATGAGTATATGAAATTTTGAGGTGGCCTATTAGTTTCAGATGAGGAATAATAGGCGATGATGCAAAGAACCATTTGACAGCTCAGTTTTTAGCTGAGAGATAAAATCAACATCTAATTAGTGCGATGCCCTTTCACCACTAGATCATTAACAGCTCTAACCGTTTTCCAAAAGTTTCGAGAATCGATACTCACAAAAGAATACATACTACAGACGCTGCACAGATATTACTCTCACTAAAGAACAAATACAACACTACACTGTAGACATCATATCCTGGCTAATAGATGCATACATTAGATATCACCTACACGTATATTTCATGCATCACATAGTACATCTTACACACCATAGATCTTTATTTGATGAATCTAAGTATCATCATATCACCTTTTTATATTGCAGACACTATATCCACACACTACACCCTGCACGAAAAATACTACATTTCAAATATAGGTGCACTACATTTTCATGAGTTCAGATACTACATTTCACATATAGGTGCACTACACTTTGAGGAGTTTAGATACTACTTTATTCACATATTCCATAAATGACGGGGTTTAAGATTGTCTGATTATAGGGGTGATTCGTTCGTGGCCTCTAGTTGATGTTGATAGGTTGACTTCGATATATCAGTTGCCTGTGGGATCGAGATAGAGAGAGAAAAGGGGTCTAATCTGAGCCTATCCCCAAATTGAAACCTAATATCCCATCTTGAGACTTTCATATGCTCATCATTTAATTTTCCTTTTATAATCTGTAAATGTTTACCTAACCCATTTATATCATACAATTGCAATCTATTTTGAAGCTTTAGCAGAATTTGATCAGGTACGCTTTTATTTATTTAATTTCCGTACTTTATTTTCTGCATATTTCCTGTTATTTTGTATCGTACTATACTTCGCTATATGCCTCATGCACTTTCTTACCGCACCTTACAACATAATCTCTTCGTTTGTTCTTTGTTGTACTGTATACATTTACCAGTATTCATACTTTAGTTGCTACTTTTTTAGTATGTTTGTGCAATCCCTTAGGATAGGTCGTTCGAGACATGGTTTTTTATCATTCTCTCTTCTCTCTCTCCTCTTTTCGGAATGAGACGACGACGTGGTCGGTTGACGATTCATCTCCAGGCAACGGTCGAGACAACTACCAAAGACTGAAGGATGACCTTATGCAGAACCTCGATAAATTTAAATAACATACTCATAGGACGTTGAGGTTGTTCGTTTGGCACGACTTAAATCCTCATATTATATTTTAGGACTTTCTACGACTTTCATATCGTACGATATAAGTCGTAAACTTTTTAGGATTTCGAGGTTGTTGTCTGGTACGACATAAATCCTCACATTTTCTCGGGCTATTTGCATATGACATACATATATAAGTCCCGAACATCTAAATAATTTGCAGGATTGAAACATCAAGTAACTTCTCTTTCAAAGATGTAAAGCCAAACCATAGATTAGTTTGAGATGTCACTGAATATTATTCAGTATCTTCGACATTTCCTACTTTTCACTCCTTTGGATTCTGGAAATAATTGTTCATATTTGAACTTATCTCATTTGACTTTTCCTATGAACAATTGTGGAAACTTGAACGTTGAATTCTTGAAGACAAAACCTCTGATCATTATCGAGAGTTTTTTTAGGTAACTTCGGTTGTGTAAGATGTAATTAACTATATGGGTTTGCTCCTATAGGGAATTTAAGAACCCAGATTAATCTAAATCCTATCTAATTTGTGTATTAGATAGGGGAATTTGTCGGCTATAAATTTTGTAGACAAAAATAGAGTCATAAACTTTTAAGTTTAGATA